TCTGCTATCAACTGCTACCCTTTTGAAAGGCGATACATTATAGTTATGTAGATATTGGCTAACAAACCTTCCCCAAAGTCAAGAAAAGATAATTGCTAGTTAGTCACTAAGAGGGAGCAGGTGAAAGAAGCCCCCAGTATTTGCTGATGAGAAATCTGTGTGGAGAATCTGGAGATCTGCTACTACTGAAGAGGCACCCAGTATGCTCAGCCTTTTATGATCACAGAGGTGCGCCTGGCACACTTGTCCTCCACCCACTGCTATTTCCTATCAGATAAAGGCTCTTACACACACACACACACACACTTTCGTCTTGCTGTCTGAGTCTGACGTCCTTGGGCTGAGGCGTGTATGTTGCAATCAGTGAAGTGTCTCCCGTGCAGGAACAAGGGACTGCGTTCAGATGCCTCATAGCTACGTGAAAGTCCAGGCACACTGTGTACGCCTGTAATTCCCAGGGCTGGGGAGACAGAGATGATAAGAACCCCAGAAATCACTGACAAGTTAACATAACCAAACTGGTGGGCTCCAGGCTCGGTGAGAGACCCTGTCTCAGAACTTAGACGGGGAGGGAGTGAAGGAGACATTGACATCAACCTCTGGCCTCCACATCCACGCACATACGTGTGTGCACATGCACTCTGCACGCACTTGCACTCTGCGGGCTCTTAAACAAACAGAACAGCAATTAAGTGACGCAGAGGTCCTCAGACCCTCACTGTACTTGGGGAACAGTAACACAACCGTGTTGCTGATAGTGCCCAGTGACAGCCATCAATTTTAATTGGGTGCAGACTTTGAAAGGGAAAGTAACTTTCTTCACTGTCCTTTGGATGGCACCCCTTAGCAAGGTTGCCCCCCATCCCCAGACTGTTTCAGACTGTAACAAACAGTGGAGCTCACTACTGGTATCCCCAGACTGTTTCAGACTGTAACAGTGGAGCTCACTACTGGTATCTCCAGACTGTTTCAGACTGTAACAGTGGAGCTCACTACTGGTGTCTACGCCTGTCGCACCTGTAATGAAACCACAGATGACTCGGTAAAGAGCAAGCTTATAGACAACACAAGTCATCCACTCCTAACCAAAGTCGAAGACGCCGCTCTTCCTCCTCCAAAAAAAAAAAAAGTCAATAATAGCACCGAGTAAAAATATCCCCAAAATTTTCGGAGGATAAAAATATTAGCAGAGTTGGAAGATAAGAGAAGTGCAGTATTTCGCTGATCGTGGAGCCCTTATTTTAGTCTTTGCAAGAACCCCCTGCGCCCACCCCCTCCATAGGAGAGAGCAGATTTTTCTGTTCAATGCTAAAAGGAAGAAACAAAGAAGGCCTGCGACTCCCCTCCCCCAGCTTCCCTATACAGTCACTAGGACCCATCTGCACCACCGTCAGCTTTACCAATGGCAGCTTTGCCAACTCTTCCACAAATTGATAGATTGGAAAGCCTGGCATGGAAACGTTCGTGCCCTGCCATTCTGAAGAATAAGCTTTAAGTTTGAGATTTACACAGGAATATTAGGGCCTTCTATATGTCTGTACATATGTGCAACTTCATATATTTCGTTCAAAGAAGTAATTGAACCAAATGGGAAAATTCGACTCGTGTAAAATTAAATTTTTTTCGTAATCAACTACAGAACGACATTGTCATCTTTGACAAATGTGGGAAATTGAGGCACAGAAGTACCCACTCGGTGAGAAGCAAACAGCATATGACAAAGGGTGAAGGACTGGGACAATGCCCAGATCTCATGTGCTTCCTTCGCTGCTCGAAACACCAGATTGCCAGAGACATTCCTCACAGGAACCCTGCGAGAAGAGACCTGAGATGCCGAGAGAATGAAAGACGTGGGACTATGGGACCCCCACGCCTATAACCCTTTCTTTCTTAGGGCTCCTTCCCTCCACATGCATTTAGAATGATGGAAGTATCACCGGGACTTCCTAATGCCTTCCTTTCTTAGTTAGTGAACAACTTGTATTGTGTGAGAATTATAAAGCAGCATATAGACGTTGCTTCCTCAGTTAAAGGGACAGATATATATGACAACAGATACGGCAAATTTAGAATAATGTCCAGGATTCCCCAGGTCGATGGCTTACTAATAAATATTCTATATGACTAATGGTATCATAACATTTGATTTGAAATACCTTGACTCAGGCAGGGAGATGTGGCTCGTGGTTATAATCCCAGCACTGGAGAGTTAGTGAAAGGAAGATAAGGAGTTTAAAGTCATTCTCAGCTACATACTGAGTTGATGTCAGCCTGGGCTACATGAGAGCCTGTCTTAAAAACAAAAGCAAAAGTTCTAAAAACTCTAGGAAATAGGGCTACTCAACTTCTAGAACATGCATATTGTTGGGGCTAAGGTGTGGCTTAGTGGTAGAGCACTGCCTGTTACATTCAATGCCCTGAGTTACATCTCTAGCCTTGGGGGATAAAAGCATAATATTCAAAATCTTATGGAAATAGTCCTCCTCTCCTATTATTTAGCTAAGTCTTGGTTTTACAAACAGTAGGCTTGCAGTTGACAAATGCCTTCCGTAAACTACTAACTTCAGAAGCAGTGGAAGCTTTGGAGTGAGAGTTAAGGGAGCTGAGGCAAAGGTTCATATTCTCTTACATGTCTGCATGACCATCAAGGATACCCTTCAACTGTGTGGTCACAGACCAGTGACTAAATTTCCCCAAGAAGACAGGTAGACAGGTAGATAGGTAGGTGGATGATAGATTGATTGATTGATTATAGACCAACAATAAAATTACATTAGCACATCTGCTAAACATGTTTTTTTCATAAACTCTCCTATGAAAATCATCTGATGGTTCAGAAATCCCCTCAATGAATGAAGTATGTAGAAATACTAGACAAATTCTAATGTACAGATTAAGTGTGTTCAAATTCTTGGGTTAACATATAGTAAAGCTTTGGGCATTATTTACTCTCATGAAAGCCTCTTTGTGTGTGTTGGCTATTGCACAGCAGAGATGGATCTGTCACGTCCAGTCTTAGTGTGAGATAGTGAGTAAGGGGCATTCAGAAACATAAACAACATGACATTGAATCCCCTGATGTACAGCTTGGAGAATTTGGGGAGGTAGGAACAGGGAGACCCACAGAACCCCTGGAAAAGAGAACCCCTGTTGGTGTGTCAAGTTAGCAAACAGGTTTTGTTGTTCTATGGAAAACACAAGACAATCTGCGACTGAGCACTCGGCTGCCATGCTTCCTATATCCCCTTTCATTTAAATTCCAGAGCAACATTTGAAGAACAGAGCTCAAACTAGTTCATAAGTTTGGCTCTTTGTGACACACATAGCTTCATAAGAAATTGTAATTCCTCAAAAACGTGGGATACCGCAGGAAATACATTGGGTCTAGATGATTTCAGACACCACAGGTCATGCAGGTAATGAGACACACAATAAAGATAATACAAGGTGAGTGAATCCCGACTCTGTGCATTAATAGAATGACAGTGTGTTATTTTTACATATGATATCAATGAATTGTGGCTAAAATTGAAAGCAGGTTTTGAAAACTGGGACATTTCTACGTGTAAACGAGAAAAGCAAATAAAAACTACAAGGGTGGAACATTATTATGTAACAAATTTTCATAAAGTAGATCCAAAACCACATGAAAAAAAGACAAATGGCTAAATCCACTTAGAGAATCCATGCTCAGGCAGAGGCTGCAAGCATGTTTTCCTTCCAGAGGGTCCAGTCACTCATGTCTCAGATGGACACCTGAGAAACTGACTTGGCATGGACACTTGCCTATGTCCTTCAGGGACATCTGGCCTGCTGGTTCATCTGCTGTTATTCAACACATTTATTTGTTCAGTGTGATCCCCCTAGGTGGCTTACCTGTCCTCTCAATCACTCTATTAACTCTGTCCTACCCCTTGTTTATCCTTCTGGCCTCTGCTTGGAGACAGAGTGTGGTATAAACAAACTACTCATCATGATGGGAAATTCCTCCCCTCAATGAGCACAGTAAGACCCCCTAAAATTATAATATGCTTCCTATAAACACTTAGATAGCAGTTTCTCTACTGGATTCAGGAAGGAAGGAAGGAAGGAGTTGAATGTGAATAGCAGAGAGTGGTCTGAATTTGAACCCTGCCACTTGGGAAGGGTTTTAAATACGTCAATCATTCCCTGTTGTTTTTTTTTTAAGTGGTGATGGGTACCCCAATTGCCAACTTCTGATACTTTTGGAATCTCCTTTCAGTTGACCCTTTATCTTGCCCAACCCTCCCTAGAATACTCCTCATACCTTTTGTCATTCTTAAAAGCCATCCCAGCTAGGCACTGCCAAGCAGTTAAATACTTTCAGCCAAGACCACTGAGCATGCTGGAGACAAAGGGAATGGAAGACACTCTACTTCCTGAAATGGATTTGCAGGCTATCCCTCAACTGGGAAAAGCTCTGAAGTCACAGAAAGAGAACACGATAAACACTCTGCCTTCACTCTCCGCTGTTCCAGGGAAAATTAGCACACCCCTCCCCCGGAAATTTGATGGAATTGGCAAAATCTGGAGAATGCTACTCGTGTTTTCGACTCAGTTCTTCCTGGGCTCACTTTGTGGAGATGCACGTGGAGCCTCCACCTTATCGGGAAGCAGCAGATTTTATTTCTAATCCTACCCTGAAAGTGATGACACCACGTGGCAAGACGCCCAACAGGACACAGGAGTTTGGTCATCTGGCCCATCCCGAAAACCATGAGATCAACAAAGGGTTAAGGCACTTAGCTTGGGCTGGCTCATCAACCAGGGAAAGAGTAAGACCAGCAGGATGACTCAGCATGTAAAAAAATTGGTTGTCAAGTCTAATGATCTGAATTGAACCCCCTGGACAACATGGTAGAGGGAAAGAATTAACTTCCAGTAGTGCTCTTATCTCCACAAGGTACTTTGGTGCACACACACACACACACACACACACACACACACACACACACTAAAATAAATGTAAAAGTGCTCACTGCTGATATCAGACGTAGTCAGGAGAAGGTGCAGACTGGGTGGCTGTCACATTCCTCCCAGTACCACCATCCGGCCAACTGCGCCATGCCTGCTGCACGCCACACAGTCAGCCTCCAGGCTTGAGAAGAAAGTAACTCAGGAGCAGAGCCTCGGGTCTGCTCAGAGCACACCATGAACTTCTTTCCGGAGAAGGCTGTAGCTAATATTTGAATTAAGAGACTGTAGTTGCTTTGAGTTCCAGCTGCACACACAACTACAGTCAAGTATTCCCACGAGGAGCACAACAGTCAAATGCTTTTTCTTTATAAATTATTCTGCAAACACTTTGTATCTTTATGCAATTTGCAATGTTGATTAACGTTATCTTTATTCTAAGATTTTAAAGAGATGCTCACTGGTACAAGTCATTCGATCAATTAATTATCTATCATTTCTTACCAGGTTTAATCAGTTCCTCAGGGAGCTAGCTGGTCTCTGCAAGGTTAACACTGTCAATATAACCTTTCCCATTTCACCTGAGGAGACCTTATTATAACAAAATAATTAAATAATTCTACACTGGATATAGTTTTCAATGTTTATGTTGGTTCCTGGCACCTTAGTTTGTTCATCTGTCTTCTGAATAAACTTAATACTCAGTTTTTAATCTCTTGAACTTATTTCAGTTACTCATTGGTTTTTCGGGGGGAAAATAAATATGGTAAGAACTGCCTGGGCTGGAGGAACCCTGGAAGTCGAGAGGCTGCTTCTGCTAGTTAACAAACTGATTTCTGAAGCAGCCACACCACTTTCTCCTGCTGCAAGAATTGCAAGGGTTCACACGGTTCCTGACCATCGCCCACACCTGTCTCATCAGGCACACGTGTGAAGCAGCTTCACAAGCCTACAAGAAGTGTCGTTTTACTTCAAGGCTGTGTATTAACTAGGGAAGCCACGCATAACTTTACTGGGTGTTTATCGCTGCCGCCACACCACACACACACACACACACACACACACACACACACACACACACACACACACACACTCCTTTTCTTCCTCCTGAAGAGTGTCCATTTATTTGCTTTTCCAGTTTTACCGTTGTCTTTCAAACGCCAAAGACTGAAGGCATTCGGGCTGTTTGTGTTTGCTTTGCTCCTGATTTTTTGAGACAGCGTCTGTCTTTGCTGTGGAACCGAGAAGGACCTGGAACTCAGCACATAGCCCTGGCTTGCCTGGAATGGGCAGGGTATCTTTCTTCCTCCGTCTCCCAAGCGCCCAGAACTGCATCCACCACGCCCAGTGAAGAGCAAAGTTCTAAGTACTTAACCTTTGGCAACCCCCTGCCCCCCATACAACCCCTACTCATTGGTCATTTGCTGTTTCTTCTGTGGCATCCTTGGGGCTGCTTAATGACTCCAAACCTGCTAACCTTTTCCTTTATAGAAATCTTTCCTTCCTCGGAGGTCATGAAAATCTGCTTTTTGACAGGCTTTTTAAATGTTTCCTTTTCACATTGAGGGTTCTGAGCCACCTGGAATTTATCCTGTCACCAGGGTCTATTTTTACTCTGTGTCCATATGGGTAACCAATTGTCCAACACCATGTCCTGAAGGGACCAAACTTTCCCTGCTGCTGTGTGATGTCAGCTCTGTTGTGGCTCATGCAGTATTTGAATTTAACTGTTTCTGGAATGGCACTCCCCGACCCAGGGGCTCCGCAGTAGAGTCACTGCTGGATCCATACTCTAAAATGCTTGGTGACGATGAAAGCTCTGATATTTTAGACAAGGTTATGTCAGATTTCCCCTCCTCTTCAAAATTGCCATGGCCACCTCCTAGCTGCCTTCTCTCTCCTGAGGAGATCACGTGCGAGTCTGAGCCTCCCTTCCAGAAAGGACTGGTGACCATCTTCGAAGTAGAGACTCCATGCCACAAACCTTTTATTTCCTAGCATTGCCAGCCAACTCTGGAGGGGGGGGGCAGAAGGGAGAGAAAGCTGACCTTCTTTGAGTGTCAAAAAAAAAGGAAAAGGAAAAAATACAATATAATTTGAAAACATTTTTTATTTCATTTTTAACTTCTAAGATTACATTTCTCTTAATAGTGGCTTCATGTTCCCTTTCTTGTCCCCTAAAAAGTCTGAAAATTTCCTTTTTCTCTTTCTGCACTTTTGAATTATTTTTTCTTTCTTTCTGAATCTGAACGCGGGAGTTCGGCGGTCCTGGCAGGACATGCTCCTCCTCTGCCAGCTGCATTGTGGTCACACAGACCGCTCTGTAGACAGAGGTTTGCAAAGAGCCAACCATCCCACAAGAGAGCAGGCATTCCCAGGGCTTAGAGTCTGACCAGTCCCGGGGTTATCGCAGCCAGTCTGACAGGCAAATGGCTGTCCCTCACTGAATTCAAGAACTGTCCCTTATTAAATGCAAAGATCAATGCTGCTTGCTAATACCATCGCCTTATTATTCTGCTGTGATAAACTAACTCACAATGCAAGTATTTAAACACTTACAACTTTGTGACAGAAAATAGGTTTCAACATTCTTGTAACACCACCCACTCTACTTATTTCTAAAACATCTCAATCACCCCAAAAGGAAACCCTGTTGCCCGCTCATCTCTCTCTCTCTCTCTCTCTCTCTCTCTCTCTCTCTCTCTCTCTCCCCGTTCCCTCCTCTGCACCAAACCCCATCCTTTTTTTCTGTTTCCATGCATCTGAGTGGAACCACCCAAGGTTCGTCCTTTTGCAGCTGGCTCCTCTCACCTAGCACAGCCCCTTCAAGGCTCACCCGCACTTTAGGGAGGGCCAGGCTCCCTTGTGCTCTGTGGCTCAGTGACATTATACTCTGTGCCTAATGGTTAACAGCATCAGCCGGGCAGGGCGGAGACCCCTAGGAGGCAGTCTCTGGACCTGTGTAAAGGAGCTCCTGGGCTGCGCTAACTGATACAGACAGAGCAGGTGCATGGACTGGTGGTGCCGTCCCTGGGTTAAAGCCCACACCGGCTGACTGAAGAGAAGAAAGTGAGCTGGACACCAGGACTCCTGTGTTTCCAGACGGAGGCTGCCATGTGTCCAGCAGCCTGGAGTCCCCTGCCATGTGTCCAGCAGCCTGGAGTCCCCTGCCATGTGTCCAGCAGCCTGGAGTCCCCTGCCATGTGACCAGCAGCCTGGAGTCCCCTGCCATGTGACCAGAAGCCTCGTGTTCCTAGTGGACCCAGAATCTTGCATCTTATTGTATTTCCAATTTGCGTTTCCCTAATGGGTGGTGACGATGGGCATGCTTTCATGATAACAATTACTCATTTCCTTTAGGGAAATCATTATATAGACCGAGCAGGGTGTATCTATTGTTTAGGAAGATTTATGTATGCACATATATGTGTAAAAACAAAGAGAAGGAGGTCATGGGTTTGAAAGAGAGCAGGGGCATGGTTCGGTCGGCACATGAGAAGGTTCGGAGCAAAGAAAGGAAGAGGGGAAGTGATGTAGTCACATTATGATCTCAAGAAATGTACAAAGTGTTTAAAAAGTGTACTTGAGTGTTCTCCCTGCTTTGACAAACAAAAACTCTTCCGGTACATTGGAACAAATGTAGACATCTGAGAACAAAGGAAGCACAGGAACCTCTGGTTCCCGAAAGGCGTGTCATGAAATGGCAGCCCGCCTCGCCTTTCTCCCCTGTCTCCAGGGATAGTCCCATCGTTCCTGGGCATCCTTCAGCCTAGCTGGTGTCGGGTGTCGGGTGTCGGGGACACAGGCTGTTCATCCTTCTCAGTGTCACTCCTCAGAGTGGACTTAGCAAAGGCTCTGAAACATTCAATGTTTCATCTTTAACCCCTCTGTCAGGGCCTCAGGAGGTAAGCAACCCCAATGCTAGCCCACACCCTACACCTCCAGGGCCTCAGGAGGTAACCAACCCCACTGCTAGCCCACACCCTACGCCTCCAGGCCCCTCTTCTAATCCCACTCACTGCAGCACATGCTCCTTGGCTAGAATCGGGTACCTTTGTCCAAATCATACCTGTTAATACTGACAGTTTGTGGTCAAGATCCCCAAGGGCTCAGCAGGTGGAAATGCTCATGTCCAAGCCTGCTGACTTGAGGTGGATCCCTGTGAGCCATGTGGTGGAGGAGGAGGATGTGACTCTTGAAGGCTGCCCACGTGTTCCGCACGCGCTGTGCTGTGTGCATGCAGAAACAGATCTCTCTCTCTCTCTCTCTCTCTCTCTCTCTCTCTCTCTCTCTCTCTCTCTCTCTCTCTCTCTCTCTCTCTCACACACACACACACACACACGCGCACACACACACACACACACACAGCCTGGGGAGGAAAGGACCCCTGACACAGGAGCTGAATGGTCAGGACATCCAACAATCTGCAAGCCAAGCAGCTTCACAAGAGCACCCATGACCCCATGTCTGCTGCTCAGAAAAGAAAACACAGCCTCAAACCGCTGTCTTAAGACCTGGTCCTTGCTCAGGTCTCCACTTTGACTTCTGATTGTAGGCAAGAGCATGCAGTGTTCCCTTGGGACCCCACCACTTCTTCTTGTTCAGGCACACCTTACCGAGTGGTGTCCACGAGCGACCTTTTCTCAGCCTTCCGCACAAACGAAACCTCCTCAGGTTCTCACTAAGCACTGAATGTCCTCTTTACAACATCCATCCCATCTACAGTGACTGCTTCAGCTCAGTGATTGGCTATTGCTCCAGGAGAACCCAGTCACTGAGGGAGCACCAGCTGTTTGAGATGAACTCTCTTGTGATTCCTGACACACAGTGGTCCTGCACAGAATTGCTGAGGTGCTGCAAATCAGTGTCGTTGTAGGAAAAATACAGATACCCATCTCATTCAACCTACCAGCAGTCTACCTATGTCATCCAACCTCCAAATCCTATCTTATTCAACATCCCAGCTCTCTGATGCCGATCAATGGCAAATTGTTATTTGGGGCTCTCGGCTGTCTCTCTCTCTCTCTCTCTCTCTCTCCCTCCCCCTCTCTCTCTCTCTCTCTCTCTCTCTCTCTCTTTCCCTCTCTCTCTCTCTCTCTCCCTCTCTCTCTCTCTCTCTCTCTCTCTCTCCCTCTGTGTGTGTGTGTGTGAGAGAGAGCGAGGGGGGGTAGGGGTGTCTCTCACTATCCTTTAGCTTCAGTTAATAGGATCTTTGGGGCAGTTAATATTAATTTACAAGCAACAAGATATGGAAAATGTCCTCATGGCAAGATAATCATGTGGTTCTTTTTAAACAATTCTTCCATGCTTAGGCTACATGTATACAGAACCAAGTGACCCAGTGTTCTAAGCCACCTACATAGACTTCTACTTTGGAGGTGATGCTCAGAGTTGAATGTGCGTCTCTACAGCCAAGTATTTCCTCTATCCATGTCTGTCACATGGTTCTATTTTCATGTCTAACCCTGACATGACAAACAACCAGGATTCCAATCTCTGCTAAATGGTCTGTTCTTTTCTTTACTAGATACAGAATTGTTGTTTTGGCGAGAATTAGTCGGGCACAGTTAGTACAATAACACTCACTGCCTTCCTGCGTGGCACCTGCTGTATGCTATTTATTTCTTGTTAGCAGCATAGTACAACAAATTGTGTCTTTTAACAGCTCATTGAGTAGAGGAGGAGGAAGCCTCGGCAATGGAATTGTTGATAATGCTCAATGGTGTTGATATAGCTATTTCTAAATAATCCAGCTTATAGATTCACACGCATACCATTTTTGCCCACCATATAATTCTCAATGACCTTGAGCAGATAGCAGCTTGAACAGAAAAATAAATAAATAAATAAATAACAGCCGCGACCCATGGTTTTAAACTATTAGTGAAGGTGATTTGAATTGAATTAATGTGGGAGATGAAATGAACTAATGTTTCTTTTGTAAGTGCTTAAAAATGTGAAGACAGCCTGTTGTTAAGTTCTTATACACCACCTAGGGATCTTCAGATTTGACAACATGGTTGAATCATACCTTTCAATAGGAGAAAAAAAAAACTATAGCAGGATCATCCCGGGGTGCTTCACGTGTCCTCAGCAACACCCAGAACAGCCACTCAACACAGATGTGCCTCTGCACATGCGTGATCCACATGTTGCTATCTTACCCGTGCACTCAGTTTCACTCGTGGGCAAGATTCAATAAACGACGCTTGAAGAAAACACAGGGCAATGCCTACCAATATTTCTCATCTGTACGTTTTGTTTTATTATGCCGGAGACCTCTTAGCTGAACTTTGTTCCAAGCTATTAACCTATGGCAGAAGCCTGCGGATAGCAGATCTCACTGACATACAGAACAAAGAGGAAGAAAGGGCGTGGAAATCACCAAGACAGCGTTGCCTTTACAGTTTTGAGGTGTGAAGATAAGACCCCTGAATAATAGGCCTGGCTGCCACACAAGGGTGAGGATAAGAGACGGGTGGGCCGCTCTCAGGCTGAAGCCACTGGAAGGCTCTCTGAGAGCCCACAAAGGATGCACATGGCAAGGTCCACCCTGCAAAGCAAACTAAGGTGTGCTGCTAACCGCCACAAGATGGAAATGAGATTAGCCATAAGACACAAACTGAGCCGTGACAAGTACATCCTTTACGCTGAGAAGCCGCTGTGTTTGTTTGAGGAAACGTTAAAATCTTTGGCCTTATACTTTATAGATTATTCGCTCTTCCCAGGTTTTGGGGGAACTCGGCTACCTCCAGTGATAATTTTTCACAGTGCCATTACCATAGTTACCTCTTGAGCTGAAGAGAACAACTCACAAAGGTACTGTTATGGCAGCCAGCTTATGCACACAGTGGCGCAAGAAGCCGTCACATGAAGCCGCGGGAATAAGGTGATCTTCTATGTCAAGGCCACGGTGGGACTGAGGATTTGACCAGTGTTTCTGGAAACAAGGTAAGGAGTGTGTAAATGCTGAGTGGAGGTAAATGCTAAGTGGAGAATGCTAACCCTCTTCTTCCTGCCAAGCATTTCCGGCGTTTCCCTGTCATCATGCAGCGTGCAGCAACTTCTAAGATAGGTG